AATTAAGCAAAAACCGTGGAAAGAAGAGACTTAAAGCAGGCACGGCGAAACTGCGACAAGCGAATAAGGATGTTCTTGAAACTTACATCGAAAATGTCTTGTTTTTGTGCGGAATTTCCCAGAAACAGCCATTTCAGCCTGTCTATTTATAGCGCAGCTCTCAGCTTGTAGGAAGCCCGTCCACGACGGAGATAAAAACAATTCTAATTTAGTGTTATGATGCCTCCTAGTCAATATGCGGCTCCTCCTGCCTACACTGTTTCGCTTTCTGGCGCTTTGTCGTTCATCCAGTGAGTCAAAAGGCTGAGGATGATCAAAACTTTGGAAAAAATCAAAACGGTCTCCGCTTTGTTCAAGTTTGCCCCCCGTTCAGCCAGTTTGAGCAGGGCCAAATTTACGATCTTGTTTGTTTCGTGAGTCGATTCGTGGACAGCGAAAGCGGAAAAAACTTTTATGGGTCTGTTCCACTCTGTGCCGTTCAGCCTTGGACAATATTTCACATTCAAAGTTTCCCTTTTCCCAGTTGTACTTACCAGTGCTTATAAGGGCGACTGAACTCCATTTCATGTCAAAGACAAGCTTTGCAAATCCGCTGACAATTTCAGCGATCGAAGGACTCGCCTGAATCGTCCCTTCCTCTCGAACCGCCTGGAAATATCCAAATATTTCGCATCAATAAAGACGAGTTTTGCTTGAAGCGAACGCATTATCCTTCGGTTGTTTCCCTAACAATTTTACGCTTCAGAGTGGCTCAAACCTTCAGAGCAGTAGCAGTAGCAGTCTCTTCATGGGAAACTTTTTCAGTTTGGAACTAAAGCAGATACTAATCTAAAGGCTCAAAATCAAAAACATTTATTAATCGCCCCCCTTTGTATGCCCTAGTAAATTTGCAACCCTTTTGAAGTTATGACCTCTGGCCTAGCTAAAAGGCGAGGCGCAACTCAAAGGGCCTCTGGATGGCGGAAAACGCTAAACTAATTCAACAATTTAGCATCTAATTAGAGGCTTCCAGGCTGCACAGGGCCAGTGGGAGTGAAACTTTTTCGATAAATGTCGGCCAAAATTAACGGAAACTCACCGCAGGACAGTTCCAGGGGCGTAGGGTTGTATTGAAATAGTCGGCGAACTGTTTTGCGGCCGCACACACTTCTGGATGGAACGAGCCCAAGACCAACCTGGCACTGCTCGACAGCACGTGGAAAAGTTCCTGATGGCTTTTGCATGTATCTGGAACCAAATGGGCATAAATTTTACCGGCTTTTAGCGCTGTTAGAAATTTTGAACAGTGTTTTGAGGATGGAGCGCAAGCGAAACGAAAATCTTGCACAGGAGGCCAGTTAATAGTTTCCCATCCTAAAGTTCCAAATGTTAAACTTCTGGAAATCAAGGCTTTTTGAGAAAACTGCCAAGATTTCCTTWTCGATGGTCTCTAAAAAGGCCTTTTAGTTATTTGTTTTTCATTGATAAATCGCCGATCGGTGGAATTTAATGTTGGTCCCAAACAWATCGCGATTTRYGAATGACTASCTTGGTCTATTTATTAATGTCTTTGATTGAAAATCCACTTTATGCGCAAAAAAATCTATTCACTGAGCGCTAAAAGCAAGCAGCAATCATTAGTTATTCAAGCCGAAAGTTATCCGGGACTTCAGCTTGGACCCAGAAGTTAAGCTCGAAAGTTTGTCCTGGCAAACTTTGCAGAGAGCAGCACGCAAGTTTCCTGCTCTATGGTTATTATATGGGTTTGAAGCAAGATGTTTGAACATTCAATTTAATTCGATAGCCGTCCGACTTGCGGAATTATTGCGAGATAAGTGGTTAGTCGGGCTTAATGGGAAAGACAGTAAAGTCCGCTTATAGTGAACTTTCGGTTAAAACAAACTTTTTTCACTTTTCGTTTATAGTGAACACAAACACTTTCCGTTTATAGCGAACTTCCACGCTCAGCAACACCAATCGT